AATTTTAAATCGGTTTTGCTTGGGCACAAGACTTTAGCGTGGACGATGTGGCCAAAAGAAGTCCGGTCGCCTGCGGCTAAATTACTGCGACTAATTTTTTAGGATTGGCGCCAACTCATTTGCTCCCAGTCCCCCCTCCCCCAGTACGCGTCTGTTGTCACAAGCTTCTGCCCTACCCTGCCTGCCTCAGTATTTGAATCAGAGATGGGTAAACTCTTTCGACGGAGCGTTTGGCGTAAACTAGCAGTGCTTCTACCTTATATCCAACCACATGACTGAATTTGTCGTAGTTACACAGTAAAAATCTCTTCCCGGAATGTAGAATTTTCTCGCGTTTTTGGTTCTACTAAGCTACATTTTGGCTCAGACATACGCAATAACTTTTAAATATAGGATAGATATCGGAATGTTACAACAAAATGGCTGAGTCAGAAATAACTTCTAACGGATGAAAGTATTCGATTGACCCAATTATGAAACATTCGTGGCCTCGGTGGGAGTCGAATCCACACAGCAGAGAAGGCTTTTGCGCAGCTAACACTCAACCACTGAGCTACGTGGCTCACTGTGCGCCGTGAATTTAATGACACTTGGGTCGATTAACTTGCTCAGCTTTACTGCACGTATGGAATTCACCAGTACCGACGCAGTAGGCTGACTGCCAGGCAAGATTTCCTTACTAATCATATAAGATCCACCGGATGGACTACTAGAATAACTTTGGTCGCTATGGGTTTGGCGCATTTTAATAATTCGATTGATCTTATTGTAAAACATTCATGGCCTCGTCGGGAGTCGATGCAAATAATTTACTCTGAAGTAGAGCTAGCGTGTTTAATTAAATGGTGGTTTTATTGAGTTAACCAGAAACTCAATAAATCCACGGTATTATTTGTAAAGACAGTTCAGGATCTGCAGAGAAGAGAAGAATATCACGCGATGCAGAAGCTTGGTGGGATACGTGCCCCCATTTGCTTTCAGCCTAGACTTAGAACAGTTTGAGAAAGAATTTGTTTTGAGGTCTAAATGCAATGTATGAACACTTATGTCATGCTTAGAAGTCCATCTATTTGGGACAGATAACCTCTGTCTGTAAAAAGCATCTTTAAAACAACGATTAGGAGAATTTACATTAAGGGTTAAGGGTCATGTTTTCAAAGACAAATTGGCGAGCAGGCATTTGCCTTCGATAAACCATCTTCAAGCCTGTAAATTTACAAGGTGTCTCAAAAATGCGAACATATTTTATATAATTGTAAAATTGGTGTTCGTCATAACTTTAATAATTCAAATATGTAAAAATACTTACAAGTATCATTTTATTGTTTTTTCACTACATGTTCTCAAACTGATGTCCATTTTGATCATGACACTGCTGAAAACACGAAGCAATGGAATCGCAAACACCATGAAACAATTCCCTTGGTATTCGGGTGCATTCATGCCCAGTGGTTTCTCTCAATCCAGCTACTGTTGCAGTAGTTAAAATGATACTTGTAAATATTGTTTTCATTTTTAAGATTATAAAATCAACATGTTTTCAATTATTTAAAATGTGTATACATTTTTGGGCCAACTTGTATATCGTAAGTAATTAAATAAACTTTGCAGGTTGGTAGCAGAAAAAATAATGCGATTGTCAGCGTCGGGGGGAGGAAATAGTAGGGGTCGGTAATCTGATCTGCGTGAGTGGGGGATTGATAGCCGCGAAATGTGAAAAGCTGTTATGTTTTAAACAACACAAACTTGTTAGGAGAGTTTTTTGTTTGCTAAATCGCATTCGTGAATGCGTTTTTACGACATAAACATCATGCAAATATTTTGAAGCTTATGAACTTGGTGTGATACCTTACTTTATGTGAGGCAAGAAACGTAAATATATTTATTTAATTACCTTTCTGGATTTGGTTGTCATTCTAGGTGCACCATCTTCAAAGGAAACCATTTTCGGAACGTGTTTAGTTGGACTCAAGTATTCTCAATCTAGTCTATAGAAAGCAATACAGTTTAGAACACGTTTAGAGGTCTGAGTCAGTGATTTGCTGTACTGTTTACTTCCTGTGCAGTTATCGTTTGCGGTCGCACATTTCCAAAGAATTAGAATGTTTAAAGGCACTGATTTTTGAGAGTATTTAATCCACACGTATAACTGTATAAATTTATAATGTGTGTGTATCAGTAATTAAAAAAATAGAGCAGTACGAAATGTTTTTCCTACACATTCAATCATAACCCTAATGTTTTTATGCTGCTCCACCAGCTTAGTGACTACGAAAGACTAGTAGGCAGCTGTCGTACTTGTCCGAAAATGGTCCTGCATGTGTAATAGTGTCAATTCCACTCTTTGGTAACCTCCCTCCCCTTATTAACGTATCCTCCTTTTAGATTTTAATCCAGGCGTGCAAAGCGAAGAGGTCGCACTTTTGCAGATTCGGTAAACC